AGTAATGAACAAGGATCATAAAGCTTTATTTAATAAATATAACCAAAAATTTCAAAATGCTTTATTCCATATATAGCCAATTAAAGAAAGGAAAGAAGGGACAGAGGAAATGTATGAGATGATGTGGGTCAGGAGAAAGGGAGGAGGTTGGGGGAACGTGAGTGGTGAGAACAGGAAAGTAACGAGTGTAGGTGGAGGCAAGAGGGGTGCTCAGGAGCTCTGACTCTCGAAGTGCCACCTCTCATGGGCATCCATCCTTCCTTGGCAACGATGGGAGATGCTCAACTGACATTCTCGGAATGAATCGGGACTCCAGAAACTCAGAAGTCCTCTCTCAACCAGGAAGGCTGCCTTTTTGTCTATGACCAACAAGATTGAAGCCCCCCCGCCCTCCCCACTGAAAACAAAAAACAAAACCTTGGTTGGCCAATGGTAAGCTCCAGCAGGGAATACTTTATCTTTCTGAACAGACTTTAAGATCCTCAAGGCTGTCCTTTGGACTAGGTCTTTTTCATTAAATCTGAAATCTTGTTTCTGTTCTGATGCCCCCAAATCACATTTGAAAACGGAGTTTACTACACAGTTATTTTCAAATCCATGGGGAGAGGATGGGAGGGTCAGACCTGGTCTGGGGGACACCATGTGCTGCAAAGTCCATAAATCAGTTCAAAGGTAGGTGCTTAGGGCCCTGGGGGAGGCACCCTTTGCCCCGCCACAGAGCAGGGGACCCTGGATGGTGCTGGGGCCTCTGAGGAGGGGTCTGTGACTCAGGCACGTTTCTGGACCACCAGGAGGGGGCCCATGGGAAGGCTGGCCCAAACGACCCTAAACACAATACTGTCCCCATATAGCTGAGTGTATTACAGGACTCTGTGGCAGCTGGGGACTCCCAGCAACACGTGGTGGACACAGGCAGCAGGGTCAGAGCTCACCCGGGGCTGGCTCCTCATGGACCAATCCTGGTTTCCTGAAAGAAAAACTCCTAGAAAATGTTTGCGGAAACCACATGGGCCTGAGGCCTCTCAGAGCCTCCCCAAGGGCAGCCAGGAGCGGCAACAACACGGAATTCAGTCAGAAAGCTTGTTTCTCGTCTTTATTAAAGCTCGGTCCTCCTGCCCATGGCCCGGAGCAGGACAGAAGCAGCTGGGGCCAGGAGGGGCACCCATTCCAGGGTCGCGCCAGGAGGAACAGCACGGAGCCAGACCCCAGCCTCGTGGGGCCAGCCCAAGGTGCCGTGGCCCTGAAGCCCCTTTCCCACAGGGAGGAGAGGCCAGGGGCCAGCACCCCTGCCCTCCTTACACCGCCCCCCACCCCGCCCGGCTAATTCATACCACTGCTGCCCAGGCCTCTCCCCACCCACTGACTACTGGGCCTCCTACTCCCAGCCCCGCAGCTCGGCTGCTGGCTCCAAGGCCACGTCTACACTAAAACAGAAGGAACTAGGTCTAAAAAGGAATGCAGTTGCGACAAAATCTGTTTTCTGGTCCCACTCGCACAGGCCAGAGAGGCGCTAAGGATGGGAGGGGTCTCACATGAGCTGTGCCTCAGCCGGCTGCCCAGTGGTCCTAACGGCCCGCTGGAGGGCTGGAGGGTGGGGTGTGGGCCAGGTGTGGGCCTTGCATAGTTGGCAGCTTGGTTTGTGTTGAGCCAAGGGTTTGTGCCCACGCCCCCAGAGGTGGCCACCACTGTGCAGACTGCCTGCTCTGCGAGGGGCATCTGAGCAGAAACCGTCTGCTTCCCCCGTGGAGTAAGGAGAAGCGGGGTTAGAGGGACCTGCAGGTGTCTTGGGCCCTGATGGTGGGTGTTGGAATGATCTTGGCACCGACCTCAGTCACGTGACACTGGTTATTACATCTAAGTGAGCCCCGGGCTGGGCGTCGTGTGCCACTGACCCCAGGAGAGATGGCAGTCGGAGGGGTGACGGCTGGGGCCCAGGCCCCGGATCTCTGAGTGAGCCGCCTCGGGGCCGGAGGTGAGCACCAAGGACTCAGAGGAAGGCGGAGAGTGAAGCAACCGGCGGGACTAGCACCTGGCCCACCTTGGTGCTCCAGTGGGGCACGGAGGGCGGGTGACCCCCGAGAATAAGGCTTTAAACTCCCGGGGCCTGCGGACACCTGGGGCCCGTCCGCCCCAGGGCCACAGATTAGGGTTCTGGCTTCCCTCCTCCCCCGATTCTTTGGGCCGTGGAGATGGAAATAAATCAACTTTCTCAGCTGCAGCTCCACCCTGGGGGGGAGGGGGGGCGGTGGTGTAGGAACGTGGTCCTTCGGAACCGCACGGGCTTCCCCAAGCGCAGCCTTAACTCCTGTTGGTACTTGAGTGACTAGAAGGTCCCTAAGCCTCTCGCTGAGGGCAGAGGACGGCAGGAAACCCACGAAGCAGCCCTGCTTGGCCTCTGCGCCACCCCCCCGCCCCCGACAAAGGGCTCCCCCTCTCGCTGTAAGGCCCGGTTACAGACGCCTCGGCCACCTGTTCTGAGGCCCCAAGTCAGACCCCGAGCGAAATAAATACATGGCCTGGCACCCTACCCCCAGCTTCACGGCACCGACCGGGGATGGTCCCATCTTGGTCGGGGTGGCCGCCCGCCCTCGCCTCCTCCGTGTGCGCTCCCACAAGCTGGGC